GAATCTGTCGCCATTTTCGAGGCCTGCCTGCTGGGGGGCCCGGCACAGTGAAGGCCACGCGCGGATTCAAATTAGACCTCGCCATCCCTGGGGGGCTGCGATCTGCGAAACTGTCGCCATTTTCGAGGCCTGCTGGGGGGCCCAGCACAGTGAGGGCCACGCGCGGATTCAAATTAGACCTCGCCATCCCTGGGGGGCTGCGATCTGCGAAACTGCCACCATTTTCGAGGCCTGCTGGGGGGCCCAGCACAGTGAGGGCCACGGGCAGATTCAAATGAGACCTCGCCACTCCTGCGGGGCTGCGATCTGTGAACCTGTCGCCACTTTCGAGGCCTGCTGTGATCCCCGTTTTCGAAGTGGCTAGGAGTGCTCAGGAATTGTAAATCATCAGCTTTATAAACACATAACCTGCTCAGTCCGTCAGTCTCTTAACTTGTGTGTATTCTGAGTAGTATCCACGAAATTCCGTACGCCGATAGAAATATTTGTTATACACCTCGTTTCACCCCAGATCGCACGCCTACAAAAGATCCTACAAAAGATCTCTGCGCCCTGCTTTTACGCAGGGGTTGGGTACGTCGCCAGGGTAATTCTGCCTCCCCCCGTCGGGGCCAGAATCCTCGTGAGGGGTGTCGTTTTTTAGCCCTCCCAGGAGTCGAAAAAGACCCCTCCAACGACCCGCGAGGCGCCCTCTCCAGGCCCAGGGGGAGGGGGTAGGGGGAGGGGTAAACCCCTCCCCGAAGGGGAAGAAGGGGGGTTGAGAACAGAGAGGGCTCGCTAAACCACTCACCCCCCCAGAGGGCTGGTGGTATTTCAACATTCTAACATAAAATCTTCAAAAACACATTGTAATTTCAATGATTTAGACCCCGATTCTCAGAGAATGGCGATTTCGCCTGAGACATCCTCCCAAAATCGAGCCCCGACGTACCTTCTGGTACCCCAGATCCCGCTTCGGAGCCTCTTGGGAGCCTCCTGGAACCTCCTGGGGCCTCCTGGGGCTTTCTGTACCTTCTGGTACCCCAGACCCCGCCTCGGAGCCTCCCGGGGGTCTCCTGGAACCTCCTGGGGCCTCCTGCGGCCTTCTGGAGCCTCTTAGGGCCTCCTGGAGCCTCCTGGGGTCTTCTGGGGCCTCCTGAGGCCGCCTGGGGCCTCCTGGGGCCTCCTGGGGCCTCATAACTACATGCACACACAGAGACACACATTACACCTAACACATCGCACGCTAGACAAACATAACACACAACACCTACAACGCACAGAAAACACGCACAACACAGAGCACACATCACACACACACAACACTCACAATCCTGGGGCCTCGTGAAGCCTCTTCCGGTATCCAAGTCGGGCCTCCTGAGGTTTCCTGGGGGGCCCTGGTACACACATCGCAAGGTGTGGCAACCCCATTTGCGCTCGAGTGCGACCTCGATCTTAGATTCTTCTGCGTTCACCTCCTGCCTCTTCCCCTTCTCTTAGGCACGCCCTGGTGGCGCCGCCCCAGCTTCCCCTTCTCAATTTCCGATCCTGCAGTCATGGTGCCTTCCTGCTTCAAACGCCCTTTCAGTTTTTCTGTATGAGCCTCGGCACACACGTGCCACTTGTGTATATATATATATATATAGCCCTCCGCACGCACCAAAACCCCCCCTTTCTCCATATTATATATGAATTCATATCTGATTTCTACGACTTTCGGACTTCATTTTGAGGCCCATTTTTGGACGAACTTCTCACCTCATTTTGAACTTGACAATAACCTTCTACTCAACTCCCTCCGTCTCCAACACACCATCCAGTACTCAACACCCTCCGTCTCCAACGCACCACCCGATACTCAACAGGCTCCCTCCCCAAGCTGAACTTGAAAATACCCTTGTACTCCACTCCCTCCGTCTCCTACACACCATCCGGTACTCCACACCCTCCGTCCCCAACGCTCCACCCGATACTCCACACCTGTCTTCTCCATCACACAACCAACCTTTCTGCCACACTTCTTCCTTTACGGTTGCAGCGCGCGCCTTCCGCCCCTTCTTTTCTCTTGGCATCTTCCAAGAGAAGAGGGGGGTTCATGGTGCGTGCTGGGACCTATCTATATATATATATATATATATATATACATACATATATACAGATATAGCATGGCGTCGGGGGTCTGGGCTCGGCGACTACAGGTCGAGTGTTGCTAAAAGTGCCCCTGGCCCGAGGTGCCCCCAGCTTGCCGCTTCATTCTGGAGCCCCGGGGGCCCTCTGGGCCTCGTGGTGGGGTGCTGTGGAGGCCGTCGGGGCCTTGCGAGAATCCTGGGGGCACCTTGGGCCATGGGCACTTCTAACAACACAGAGGAGGAGGAGGAGGAGGAGGAGGAGGAGGAGGAGGAGGAAGAGGAGGAGGCGCAGGAGGAGCAGGAGGGGGAGGGGGAGGGGGAGGAAGAGGAGAGGAGGAGGAGGAGGAGGAGGAGGAGGAGGAGGAGGAGGAGGAGGAATCTGCGCTGTGGGGGCTTTGGGGGTCACCGCGCTGCGCCAAATGTGTGCCGATCGCTCGCCGGGGGCGCGGCAGAGGCCTCGGTCGAGGTCTTCGCCGCCCCCCCCCCCTGGAGCGCGGGGTTCGCAGGCCCTGCCCTCCTCCTCCTCCATGCCCAGTAGGCGGTGCCTTCCCCCGAGCGGACGCTGCGGGGTTGCGGCGGTCGCCGTCCTTCGGCCCTGCTGCCCTCTGCTGAAGGGGCCGTGCCCGCGCCCCCACAGTGCCGCCTCTCTGGGAGGACACCAACCAACCAACCAACCTTTGCAAGCCACGCCCCTCGGAGTCGCCGACTCCTGGAGAAGGCTTCCTGCACAGGTCGGCGGCGAGCGAGGGGGGAGCGAGAAGGGGCGGACCGTCTCAGAAGTCTCGGAAGTCCCCGGGCCGTCTGAGAAGTTGTTTAAAGCCCTCCCCGAAGACAGACAAAAATCTCTCAGAAGGCGCGAGGGATTCTGAGAAGTCCCGCCGCCTTCTCAGAAGGCCTTCTCCTTCTCACTTGCCCCCCTTGCTCGCCGCCAAACAGGGCTTATGATGTTCCAACCTGCTCCAGCCTGGATCGCCAGGAAGACTTTCGAGCACCACGGAAAGTACCGAACCTGGAGGGTTTCACGTGTCGGTACTTTTCTGGGTGCTCGAAATTATTTCCGGGATGTGGTCCCCAAGCACGACGGGAGCAACAAAAAAACACAGGGCGTCGTCTGGGAGGCTTCTCCACGGCGGCAGCTTCCCCAAGAGCCTCGGCGGGAGTCGGAAGGGCTTATACGAAGAAGCCGCCATGCCTTCTCAAGCCCCTCCCCCCACCCCGGCCCCGCGCTCCTCTGCACGCGCCGCCAGCTGCCCTCTCCTCTGGCGCTGCCGCTCTCGCGGGGACTTCGGCCCGCGGGGACTTCGACCCCCTCCCAGCGGGGCACCCCAGCGGCGCGCAGAGCATCGCGCGTCGCGCGCGTCGCGCAGGTCGCGGCCTGGGCGGGGTGGGGGGGGGGGCGCGAGGGATGCGAAGACACGTCTCGCAGCGCGGGCCGCGGGATGCGCAGAGAAGTCGTGCCGAACCGCTCGGCCGGACGGCCCCCGGGCGGGGGGGGGGGGGGCAGCGCCCCTCAGAGGTCCGAGGCGCACGTCGCACGGCCGCGCGGAGCCGCCACGTTCCGTTTGACCCGGCGCCATCTGTCGGCCACCGAGCCTTTTTTTTTTCTTTTTTTTCTTTTGTTTTTTTTCCTCTTCTTTTCTTTCTTCTCTTTTTTTTTCTCTTCTTTTTTTCTTGCTTTTTCTTTTTTTCTATCTCTTCTCTTTTTTTGTCTTCTAATTCTCTTTTCTTTTTTTTTATTTTGTGTTTTTTTTGGTTTTTTTTCTTTTTTTTCTTCTCCGCTCGGTCTGGCCATTTCACTTTTATTTTTTTTTTTTTTTCCATCTTCATTCTTGTCTTTTTCTTTTTTTTTTTTGCCTCGCGCCCGTCTCTTCGCGCCAGCCAGGGCGAGGGCAGCTCATCGAGGAGAGAAGAAGCCCTAGCCTTCATAGCATAGTGAAGACGCGGCTTCACTGAGGTCCCCGCCTCCGCATCAGGGGTCAAATAAGGGCCCTTTGGTTTGCTGCATCTGCAGCCCACCCCTGATCCCCAATGTTTTTTGGGCCACCCTGACTCAGGTCCCCTCCCACAGGTTTAGGTGCCCTTTCTGGTCCATCAACAGACATAAACATCTCCCCAGAGCGATTCCGGAGCGCTCCCGCGAGCGCTGAGGAGCGGCCAGCGGCGCCCGTCGCATTCGGGTGTTGCTGATTAGAGGGGCCCCTGGCCCAGGGTGCCCCCAGGATGTCCAAGCTTCTCAGGGGCAACGATAGGGGGGGCTAGGCATAGGGGGGGATGCATCGACCCCCAATCGCCCACTGATCGCCGATAGGGGCCCGATAGCCCCAACCTGCCCAGGAAGGTGCGGATTCACTATCGGAGGCCTATCGCCGATCCATTGGCGATGTATCGTCGACTCCAGGTCGATGCATACCCCCATATGCCAGTCCCCCCTTATCGTTGCCCCTCGCCTTCAGAGCACCCCTCACGAGGTATAGGGGGGCCCGAAGGGGCTTCAGGACGGGGCGAGAAGCTGGGGGTACCTTAGGCCCGGGGCACCTTAGGCAACCCCCGAGACGCGTCCTCCAAGCCCGCCAGTCTTCGTAGACTTCGCACACACATCTCGACCCGGACCATATCTTCCACCTGATCTCGTCTTATCCAGCTGCCCGCCGCAAGTCCTGCCTTGCCAGCCTTCGTGCGCCCCAGGGAGACGCCATGGCCGCCCCAGAGACCTCCAGGAGTGGGGGGTGGTGCACGCAAGTGGGCGCGACGCGAGGGGTGGCGGACCCCGCAGAAGAGCACAGAGACCCTGCCCGACGGCACTCGGCACTCTTCGCCACGTCTCCACGTGCCTGGAGGCACGGTGGCGGATGCTTCGTCCCCGTCCTCCTGCGCCCGCGCTCGCCCCCCGAGAACACCGCCCAGATGCTGATGTCGGAGCTGGTGCCGTCCGTCATGGACCGGTTCACCGGAGGGCCTCGCTGCCACGGGGCGAGACGCCCCTCGCGTCGGGCATGAAATCGCGACGGCAGGTTTTTGGGGGAGTAGTTTGTCGGCATCGGGAAGATCTCTGGTGGGTCCCGCGGAGTTGTCAAAAGACGGCCCGGAATGCAAAGCCCGACCCGGGCAAAAAATGAGGTCCATGTTGCGAGCAAGTTGACGACGTCGGTGGAGTCTGGGCCGGGGGAGAGGTTAGAGGCAGCTTCGTAAGCGGGCAGCGAATGCGCTGCTATCAGGGGTGCCAGTTGCTTCAGGAGAGCCCGCTCCCAAGACACAGAATGCGAAACAATTCTGCCCCTGGTGTGCCGTGCCCGCGTGCCGTGCGGTGCCTTGACGTGCTTACGGCGTTCTCGAATGCGAAAGGTGTGGCGTGACGTGCCGCTCCAGAATGCGAAGTGCGTTCCGTGCCACGCAGGGCCGTGCCGTGCCCAGGTCTCAGAAAAGCAGAGGTTGGCCGAGCCCTGCAGGTGTGCCAAGCCGCACCGTGCCGTGCCGCACGTTTTCAGGCTTCGAGAGTGTAAGGTGTGTGCGGTGCCGTGCCCGCGTGCCTTGCCGTCTGCGAGACATGTACCCTGCCGTGCCCACGTGCCTGGCCGCGCCTTTGTTTACAGGGTGCAGAATGCGAAAAGAATAGCGGGCTTCCGAGCTCGCCGCATGCGGAGACTGCGCCGCCCGAGCGCGGTGCCCGAGCTCTCGTTCGAAGCGGGTGTCGTGCCGCGCGGTGCCGCAGTCCTGGAGTGCGGGAGGGGTGCCGTGGCGTGCCCGCGTGCCGTGCGGTGCGCGGAGCCGAGCCATGCCGTGCCGCGCCCGAGTTCTAGAATTACGTAAGTCGGGCCTGTCCCGCTGCAGGGGGAATTTTTAAAAATAGTCAAAGAAAAGTCTGGGAACGATTGTTGTTAAGCCTTCTTGGATATGTTTTGCATATGTTTGTCAACCTCTATTTTTCTTCCGAGATCCCCCTGTAGGAGGAGTGCCACGCCCGAGTGCTAGAGTGCGAACAGAGCGTGCCGTGGCGTGCCGTGGCGTGCCCGCCTGCCGCCAGAGCGCCGTGCCTCGGCGCCAGGTGTTGCGAGGGACGTGTGCCGTGCCGCGCCCGCTCGCCGTGCGGCGCCGTGGCCGCGGCGCTGGGATGCGAGGGGTGTGTGTGTGTGTGTTGTGTTGTGTTGTGTTGTGTTGTGTTGTGTTGTGTTGTGTTGTGTTGTGTTGTGTTGTGTTGTGTGTTGTGTCGTGTTGTGTGTGTGTGTCTGTGTGTCTGTGTGTGTGGGGGCTAAGTATGGGTGTGTGTGTGTGTGTGCTGTGCCGTGCCCGCGTGCCGTGCTGGCGTGCCGTGCCGTGGCGCGTGCAGAAGTTTTTGTTTTGGGGGAGGGGTGGCGTGCGGCAGCAATGCCAAACCCGTGCCCGCGAGCGCCGTGCTTTGCTATGCCGTGCTCCGTCCGCCGCCACACGCTGTCCGCACGCACCGCTTCGGAGTCGTGCCCTGAGATCTCGAAGGGGCGGTGGACATGGAGATCTGCCCGCCCGCGTGGGCGGGCAGACATCCACCGCTCTCTCCGAGCCCTCGTGACGCGAGGCAGTGGACGTGGTCATGCTCTGGCGGCGCACTCCTCGGTTGCCTGCGGCACTGGCCGCCCACGCCGGCAACGCCCCCTACGGATGTTGCGCACCGCGTGTGCTCTCATGCGCTGAGCTGCCTCGAGGCGCCTGCTCTGAAGCGCAGCGCGTGCCCTGCGCAGGGCGTCGGTTTTGACACGCAGCGTGCTGGCGCGCCTTGTGCGCCCACGCCTGGGCGAACGTACCGCGCCCAGCGCACGCCTCCAGTCTCCGTGTGGGGAGCCCCGTGTCCACAGGCTACGGGTGGCGTGTTGCGCATCGGGGCGGTCAAGTTCACGCAGCATCGCTGTGCAGGGCCCCTTTGCACGGGGTATAGTTCCGATGCTCGATCGGCGGCGAGCGAGGGGGGGAAATGAGAAAGAGCAGGCCTTCTCAGAAGGCGGCGGGACTTCTCAGGGGCCCTCCGGGCTTCTGGGATGCGTCTTCGTGGAAGGCTCAGGAAACGTCTCAGGAGGCCGGGGAATTTCCGAACCTACTGAGGAGGCTTTCTCCGTCTCATTTCCCCCCCTCGCTCGCCGCCGATTTGGGGCCCCTCCGCTGCAAGCAACAGTCGTGCGATGAGAGAAGATCTCTCCCGGCCCCAAAGGGTATCCCCAGCACTCTCGCGGAGGCGCGCGGCGACCCACTGCGGCATTCGGGATTTTCGGCCTCGGTCGGTTGCAACCCTTGGGAGCAGGCAGCGCGCCGCCACCACCACCCGGGGGGTCAGGAAGGAGCTGGTGTGCGGTATGCGGGTGTGCACGATGACCCGCGAGAGCGCCCGAAACGATATACACCACTTCCGCCTCTGATCACTCTCTGCCTTCATCCTCGAGTTGGTGGTGGTGATGATGGTAGTGGTGGTGGTGCGTGTCCTTCTTCCTAAACCCCTTCTGCAGTCAAGACGCTGAAATAAGGACCAAGCTGGGCTTAATGGAGAAGATTGGAACACGGCACACACATAAACATTCGGAGTTCTGCGCGGATTTCTTCGATCTGTGCTGGGCCCTCCTGGTGCGCTCCGCGCGACAGGGAAGCGGGGTTCAGCGCAGATCCAAGGAACCCTCGCGGGGTATAAGATCGAGGTCGGTCCAGGGAGGGTCCCTTAAGATTCTTCGCGTCTGTGGGATGCTCTGGTGCATCCTGGGGGGAGGGCGCCCTCGATGCTGTCTCGTGTTGTCATCGTTTTCTTGTCCATTGTTTTGCCGATGGGGCGCGGGCCCTCGCGCTCGCACCCCCTCCCCCCGCACGGAGTGGATCCTGGCTGTTTTCGGCGCCTGTTTCAAGCAGGTGGAGTCTCCCCCGTAGGACGCTGGGCTGCAACAGTCGCACGGAGCAGAGGTCCGGAGCCAGGACCCCCCCTCCCCCCCCCTTCCGCCCAATGTCGAAACGCCGAATAAGAGAACGTTCGCAATTTTCTGTTGCAAGATGAAAAACGGCATAAGCATAAACTTTTGGCGCTCCGCGCGGATTTCTTGGATCCGCGCTGGGCACCCCCTGGCGCGCTCTGCGCACCAGGGAGGGGGTGTTCCAGCACGGACCCAAGAAATCCGCGCATAGCGCCGAAAGTTTATGCTTATGCAGTTTTTTCGTTCTTCTTCTAGACGGCAAAATCGTTCACGATGTTCTTTTGTTCCAGGCCCGGCCGTAGGAACGCTTCGTTCAGGCCCCGATCCAGGTCCGTCAGGAGGGGACAAGAACACACAGACAATGTATCGTCGATTCCTTGGAAAATGTGGAAAAACGTTTGGGAAGTGGGGGGGAAGACGACAACACATAATACATGGGGAACGATGGGGAGTCCTGGGATATGTGTGTGTGTGTCTGTGTGTGTGTGGTGTATGTGTGTGTGTGTGTGTGTGTGTGTTGTGTGTGTATGTTGTGTGTGTGTGTTATTGTTGGTTGTGGGCCCCTCCGTCTTCGCTCAGAGTGGCGGCCTGCAGCAGAGCGGGCCCCTCCAGCGTAGCTACCCCCCCTCCCCTCGTCTCCACGACGCCGGTAGGCGGCCCGAGGGGCTCGTCCTGGGAGGGGCTCGCCACGGATTGGGTGCAGGAGCTCCGTCTCCATCCTCCCCCTCCTCCTCCTCCTCCTCCTTCTCCTCCTCCTTCTCCTCCTCCTCCTCCTCCTCCTCCTCCTCCTCCTCCTTTTTCTTCTCCGCCCCTCCTCCTTCCCTCCTCCGCCCCTCCTCCTCCTCATTCCGTTCCCCCCCCTCCTTCGCGGCCACCCCATACAGTGGGGACCGGGTGGTGTCGGCCCCGACGGTGTCCCCCGTGCGGAGGGCCGAGGGACCGCTGGCCTGCCATGCACAACAGGCACCCCGCCCTGGCAGGGCCTCCCAAAGCGGGGGTCCACTGGAACAGGTGCGCCGGGTCCCCCGGCCACGCAGTCTCTCATGGGAGCTTGGCTTCAAGCACAGGTCTCCCCGTCGGGAGAGTCGTGTAGCCCCAAGGCGGCGCGGGGGTGAGGTAGTTCTACCCCGCCCACGTGTAGTCGGTTTGTCGCTGTCGAGTTATGTTCGTGTTTTGGCGGGCCTGGGCTGGGTGAGCGGGGCGTTTGGCACGCTGCCGGCCCCTGCCCGCTTCGTCGGTGGGTTCGGGCGTTTCCTGCCCGGTCGCCAAAGATGTTTCGGGGGAGCTGGCGTGCTCATTCCACCGATGCTAGCCCGCTGCGGGGGGGGCCCGCCCGCGCCGCGAGCGCCACGCGGCCGCGGCGCCGACCGCGGTACAGGCACAGCGGCGGCGTCGCGGGACGTCTGGTCGCTGAGCTCAAGTTTTTAGTGCTGTGCGATCTACCCGATCCCCGTCTCCTCTTTGACAGAATTCGATTCCAATGGGCAATTATTTAATATTTCGATCGAATCGAATCCTCCTCCTATCCTCCTTCCTCCTCCTCCGCCTCTCCCTCATCCTTTATCCCCTCCGCTCCCCCCCCTCATCCTCCTCCTCCTCCTCCTCCCCCCTCTCCTCTTTGACGGAGGAGAAAATGCCCGCCATCCCAGGATTTTCTCAATCCACCCATCTTCCCGGACCCCCTCCCTGGGCGTCGAGTGCAGGTCGAAGAGGACGAGCTTTGCGCAATCATTCTCTCTTGTGAAGAACCGATGGGCTTCCCTCCGCCGGCGCGCGAGGCGCCGCCAGGGGGGGGGGAGCGCTGACCCAAGATATCCGCGCGGAACCCCGAACGCGCATGTGCGTCTGCGCTGTTCGCGTTCTCTCCTGGAGGCGTGAGGGGTGCGGGTGGGCCCGCCGAGCCACCCCGACCCAACCCAAAAACCCCGATTTGACTTTTATTTCCAGTGGATGCGGAGCGGGGAACATGGAAGAAAACACATGGAGCCCGCACCCCCCCGAACCCGACATTCGGGTCCTCGGGTTGGGTCGGGGTGGTCTGCTAGGTAGTCAGTGGGGGTTGGGTGGGGGAGATGGAGCGAGACTGGGGGGAAGTCGAGAGTGGGGGCACTGTTCGGCGGCGCGCCCAGGGTGGGGGTGAGAGGGAGCAGGCCTTCTCAGAAGGCGGCGCGGCTTCTGAGAAACCTCCTGGCCTTCTGAAAAGTTGTCAGTGGCTCCGGGGTCGGCCAAGAAAACTTCGGAACACCCGAGGTCTTCCGAGCCTTCTGGGAAGGCCCGCGCCGTCTCACGTTCCCCCTGGGCCCGCCGCCGGATTGTGCCCGTGGGCGGATATTCCCCGAGGTTTCACTGCGAGTCGAGCGGCAGCTCCGCTTCGAGCGCCAGCCTCGCCCTTGCCGTGCTCGCCGCGGTCGCGGGCTGGGTCTCCCTCTGAAGGAGCGCCGCGCGGGCTCGGAGCGGGAGGGGGGGGGGCTTGAACGGGACGGGTGGGATCTTGCGGAGGCAGCGGAGGGAGGGGATGGAGAGGAGACGGAAGGGAGGGTGGGAGAAGGAGGAGGGGAAGGAGGAAAAAGAGGAGGAGCAGGAGGAGGAGGAGGAGGAGGAGGAGGAGGAGGAGGAGGAGGATGGAGACGGAGGAGGCTCAGGAAGAGGAGGAAGTGGGAGGGGAGGTGGAAGTCTTGGCTCCTCATCCCTCTCTTTCGCGCTCCCTCTCCCTTTTCATATCCTCTCTCTCTCTCTCTCTCTCTTTCCCTCCCTCCCCCTCCCCTCTGGACTTTGCGAGGCACTTCTGGGAGATCCAGGGAGTGGCGCCTGCTTGCAGCAATGGCCTCACGAGCCACCGACACGACGACGCAAAAAACTAGAGGTCCTACGCCGCGAGACGCCAGAGTGCGGAAACCGTGACACGCCTCGGGGCGGAAACTGCCCCACGGTCAATACGGGCAGGTCGCCTTTGCCCGCCGCAGCTGTCACGGAGACCAGGGCGGCGCAACGTGGGGCACTCCTTGGTCACCCCTGATGTCTGGTTCGTTGTTCAAGGCTCCTGCGCTCAAGCTTTCTGAGCGTCGGCTGTTTGGACCGGCAGTCGAATAAGTGCCGTCGTTTCACCGACGCTCCTGTGTGGCGGCGTTCCGCCTTGCCGTGGAGCCGATCCCCGGCGAGAACCCCGCGGTGGTACGGGTTCCCACGTCACCCTTGGAGATAGGTCCTGCAGTGGGGCGGCCCAAGTGTGGCGGTCGGCTCTTCGGTGGAGCAGGTCCTCCACGTCACCCTTACAGCTGCGATCTGTGCGGCGCTGGCGAAGTTGATCAGCCCTGCAGTGGAGCAGGTCCCCGTAGTTAGTGGGCCAGCGGGATGCCAGCTCATCTTCTTGACATGCGGTGCGACAGGCATCGTGTTTTTTCGCCCTGTACGGTAGGCGGCGATAGGGCTTATTGTGGAGGACCCCCTCGTCAAGCCTAATGTGTCGCCCGCCAGAGGTAACCAGGAAACAGGCCAGCGGCAGTACTAGCAGTCCTTTTACGCCCGCTCGCTGAAGCATTGACAGCTCGGTCGCAGCTTGGCGGCAATGCAGGCGGTCATGCGTCATATGTTCGTTATAACAGAGGTGGCTGTTCCAGCTTACGCGGACTACACATGCCATCCTCCAACACAAGGTGCCAAGTAAGGTCCGTGTGACAGGCTCGTGGACCAGAAGGTTGGTCATGCCAACCTCCACTAGCACCGCTTCAAGGCTGGGAGAGCCCATGTGTGCCCCACCCGTCCAGACAGGATTATGCCGACCCTCGAAGGCATGAAACATTCATTACGCTTCTCTGTTGTCCTCTCTCTCTCTCTCTGTTTGTTCTCTCTCTCTCTCTTTCTCTCTCCCTCTCGCTCTCTTTTTTTTTTCTCTCTCTCTCTCTCTCACACTCTCTCTCTCCGTCTCTATCTCTCTCTCTCTCTTTCCTTCCGTATTCCCCTTCCTCGTCTTCTTTCCCCCATCCCCCTCATGTCATTATTATTCCTGATGTTGTCATGTCACTCATTTTGTCCTCAGTATGTTCCTGTTGCAGATTGTCCTCATATTCATGTTTTTTCATCGCGCTGCCTCCCTCGATCTTACCCTCCCTCTTCCTTTCCCCTCCCCCTGTTCCTCCTGCGCCTCGTCCTCTTCCTCGTATCAGTATGTACCTTGTTCTGTCTGTCTGTCTGTCTGTCTGCCTGTCTGTCTGTCTCTCTGTCTCTCTGTCTCTTTGTCTCTGTGTCTCTTTGTGTCTCTGTTCGTGTGTGAGTTCTAGATTGCGCACGCGAGGGGCTGAGAGAGGGGGGAACGGGTGTAATGCGGGGGGCGGGGGGAGGAGGACGGGGGGAGGAGGAGGAGGAGGAGGAGGAGGAGGAGGAGGAGGAGGCAAAGGAGGAGGAGAAGGAGGAGGCAAAGGAGGAGGGGGAGGAGGAAAGGGAAAAGGAGGAGGAGGACCAGTCGAATCCCCAAACTCACCAACGATGTTGGAATAGACCCTCGCTCCGAGCTCTCTCTCCAGAGGCCCGTGCAAGGGTATCATTTCCACTGGGGGAACGGCCTCGTTGGGAGACAACTGTGTAAAGACCCTGAAGCATGCCAAAACATTGTTCTCGGGACTCCAACGCCACGGATCAATCTGATTGTTGCGTCATGACGATCCTGAATTGTGCCAGGTCACCATTTCTGGGACTTCAACACCGCGAACCAACGTAATTGTTGCACCGTCACAACCGTTACACTCCGGAATCCTTCCTAAACGCTAGTTCTGGTAAGTTGACCATGGGAACCCGTGAAACTTCTTGCAAGTGTTTACAAGGAATTTGCGCGGCGTTTAGGCGAGAATTGCATTTGAAACGAACCGCCCTCCATCCGTGAAACTCTTACACATGTCGAAGACGATTGTGCGCGGCACTAAGGCGAGAGCCACATTTTGAAACCGAACCGCCCTCAATCCGCGAAGCTCTTACACATGTTGACAACGAATGTGCGCGGCGCTAAGTTGAGAGCCACATTTTGAAAACGACCCGCCCTCCATGTGTGAAAGTGTTATCAAATTTATGCTTCAGGGTCATACATAAATGGTGAGGAAGTCTCAGGCGAAACGCCTGGCCCGCCCTTTCGACCAGCCTCGGGGTGTGACAGGGAGGAGTTATTTATAAGGAAAAGGAATGGAGGATGAGGACGAGGAGGAGGAGGAGGAGGACGAAGAGGGGGAGGAGGAGGAGGAGGAGGAGGAGGAGTGAGGAGGAGGAAGAAGAGCACTGGTGACCCGGAGGAACAGGGGCGAAGGGAGGCTGAGGAGGAAGAGAGGCAGGAGAAGGCTGGAGGGGGAAGGGAAGGATGAGGAGGATAGAGACGGCACACGGAGGAGTTGAGTGAGGAGGGAGGGGACACGAGGAGAACGGAGCAGGGATAATTTGGGGAGGAGGAGGAGGAGGAGGAGGAGGAGGAGGCGGAAGAGGAGGAGGGTTGACGCCGACGCAGAGGGCGGATCGGTCGTGGGGGCAACACCTGTAAAGCAGGGTGCTTTGGAAGTGCGCCTTTTGGGGCACATCGTGTGATGCTGCATCGACTGCGGGGCGTCCCTCGGCGGCAGCGCTTGCAGCTGCCCAATCGCTCGGGGCTTACTGTGTTGGACTGTCGGACCCCTCGAGCCACCGGTGCGCCACTCTTCCTGCAGCCTGTGGCCTCGAGCCGCCGGCATGTCACAGGCATGCCACCATGCTTGGAGGGCGTATCGATGCCCAGCACCGAGGGGTCAGTCTGCTGATGCAGGTGCCGCGGAAGGCTGGCGAAGAGGCGCAGATGGGCGAACAAGGACTGACGTGTTTCCGCCGCGGGGCCCCTTTCGGCGGAGGCGTTGGTGGAGTCATCGAGGCGTCGTGGAGTGACGTGAGCACCTCGAGCGGCCCCGGAACCATCGTTTCATGGGCGGCGCGGCTATTGTATCGGCAAGGCGAGTGCCGGTTCCCAAAAGCGGGAAGCGCAGTTATCAGTTGAACGGTTGCAGCCAGCGTCATGCGAGAAGCACAGATACTAGACAACAACGACGAGAGGCAACCCAGGAGGATACGCTTGAGAGTGATGACGACGGCAACGACAACGGTGAGCGAAAAGTTGGAGGAGGAGGGACGCGTGAGAGGACGACGAAAACAACGCCGACAGAGAAAAGTAGGAGAGGGGGAGCAGGAGGTGACGACGACGACGACGGCTACGACCTGTCGGCGCATTCTCCCAGGCCCTCGGAGCTCTTCGGGTTTCGTCTGAGAGCTTCGTGGAGTCCTCTTAGGGTGTTTTGCGGGTCTCTTGGCAGTCTCGGGGGCCTATTTTTACATCTTGGGTGCCTCTGGGGAGCCTCTTGGAGCCTCTTGGGGGTCTCTTGGAGGCCTCTTGGAGGCACCTCGGTGGCTTCTTGGGGGCCTCGTGGGACCTCCTGGGCACCTCTCGGGGCCGTCTTGGGGCATCATTGGGAGCTGGGGGGCATCTTGGGGCCATCTTGGAGAAGATCGATCGTAGGAGGGGGGCTACTTAACTTCGAGGCCAAACTGTTGCCAAAACAGTCGCAAAACAATCAACTGTAAGTTTGGCCTTCTCACCAAGGCCTCTTGAGGCATCGTGTGAGTCTCTGGGGGGAGCCCTTGGGACCTCTTGGGGGTCTCTTGGGAGCCTCTTGGTGGCTTCTTGGGGGCCTCTTGGGACCTCCTGGGCACCTCTCGGGGCCATTTTGGGACATCTTTGGGAGCCTCGGGGGCCATTTTGTGGCCATCCTTGAGGATATCGATCGTAGGAGGGGGCTCCTCAATTAGGGTCTCCGGAGGCCAACATGTGGCCACAACCTTAGTATCCTGCGTAATTTTGGCCTTCTCGCCGAGGCCTCTTGGAGCGTCCTGGAAGCCTCCGGGGTACCTCTTGGGGTCTCTTGGGGGTCTTTGGGGAGCTTCTTTCGGGCATGTTGGTGGCCTCGTTGGGGCCTCATGGGGCCTCCTGGGCACCTCTTGGGGCTGTCTTGGGGCACCCTTGGAAGCCTCGGGGGCCATCTTGGAGGAGATCGATCAGAGGAGGGGCCGTCGTACAGTAGGCCCCCCCCTGGAGGCAAACGTGTGGCCAAAACCTTCGTAGAATCAATGATTTGGGCTTCCCCGCTGAGGCTGCTTTGGGCGCGCCAGCGACCCGCGCCGATGTTTTGCCACGTCACCGCCCGTGGCCGCCTCGTTGCCGTTCACTTGAGGGGTCCGCCGAGTTTTCGCCGCGCCGCCGCCTGGGGCCGCCCCGTTGCCGCCCGCTTCCTGGCTGGGTCCGCCGAGGTTTCGCCGCGTGGCCGCTCCGTGGCCGCTTCGTGGCCGCCTCGCCGCCGCCCTCCCGGGGGGCCCGCCGAGGCGTTGCCGCGGCGCCGCCCGCGGCCGCCTCGTGGCCGCCTCGTTGCCGCCCGCTTCGGGGGTCCGCCGAGGTCTCGCCGCCTCGCCGCCCGCGGCCGCCTCGTTGCCGCTCACTCGGGGGTTCCGCCGAGGTGTCGCCGCCATGTGGCCTCCTCCGCGTCGACGCCCGTGGCCGCCGCCTCGTTGCCGCCCTCCGCGCCTCGGGGGTCTGCCAGAGTTCCGCCACGTTTCCGCCCGTTCTCGCCTCGTTGCCGCCGCCATGCACCACACGACACCACATAGCTTCTACCACATAGCTTGCACGGCGTGACTTACACCATATTGCTTACACATTCACCGTGCAATAACTGACTGCTTAGGGTCCACGCTGGCTGACATGTTCTGGGGGGTTCTTGGTGGGTTACGGCGGAAGATGCGAAGGAGGATGGGGAGGGAGAGCGGGAGCAGGAGCAGGGATCGGAGGAGGAGGAGGAGGAGGAGGGACAAGAGGATGATGAGGAGGAGGAGGCGGACGAGACAGGGTGAGGGTCAGGAAAGTGTAAAAGAATTGGATGCTCGTCTGACTCGAGATAGTGGTTCTTGTGCCCATAGCATGAACCTTGGGACTCTGCATGTGAGCATGGGAGGAGCAGCAGGCGGATCGCTGTAATTAGTAGGAGGAGGTAGACGAGGATGAGGTGGAGGAGGAGGAGGAGGAGGAGGAGTGGGAGGAGGAGGAGGAGAAGGCGGAGGAGGAGGAGGAGGAGGAGCAGGAGGAGCAGGAGGAGGAGAAGGAGGAGGAGGAGGAGGAGGAGGAGGAGGAGGAGGAGGAGGAGAGAGGAGAGGAGGAGGGGAAGGAGGAGGGTACGGGGTGCGAAAGAGGAGAAGGAGGAGGAGGAGGAGGAAGTGGAGTAAGTGGAGGCAGGGGAGGTGGAAGAGCGGAGCAGTGGTATTCCAATGCGCAGGACGACCAGGATGAAGCCGCGGGAGCGGGAGGAGCATGATGCGGGACCCCCCTTCCGCGGAAAGGGCATGTGGACCATCGCGCGGGCCGTGGACGCGCAAGAGCTGAAGACGCGGGAGAGCTGAGCGGATGTGGGTGGATCCGGCAGCCCCCCGGCATCCCGACTTGATTCCTCGTTTTTCAGCGAGTGCGCCCCCAACGGGGTGGTGACCACACCGTGTGATGAGTCGGTGGGGATTCGGGGTCACCGCACGGTTTTGGGACTCGGGTCGTTCTCCGAGGATGTTTGGGGCGATTGGAGTCTCCAAGGTCCCAAAACCGTGCGCTGACGGACCGTGCGGTGAGATCTTGGGGGATTTTGAGGTCACCGCACGGTCGGTCACCGCACCGTTTCGGGACTCCAAATTTCAGCGAGTGCACCCTCTTCCCTCCCTGAAGTTCTTGGGCGTGTCTGGCAACAAGTGCGACTGGCTTGTGTTTACCCCTTGCCTCGGACCCCCCCAGGGAGGGCCCCGCTCACCGACGCGTGGCGGGGAGCCCCTCGCTGTGAGATTGGACCCTGAGCGCCAGTCGCGCTTTTACGCAGCACTGCGAATTTGGTTCACGACGTCGGGTGTCGGGTTCTGTAACCTTCTTTTGTGTGCTCCGCGGTGTGATTATGTGTGTGCCTCTTTACCAGCCTCATCATGTTTTGGAGGAGAAGCTGAAGGAGCCACGAGTATGGTTGGTTACCTTGGCTGGACCTTTTCGAACCTATTGTGAGTCCGCGGGCACGGCCTCTCCAGCATGGCTGCCGGGCGGTAGGCGACCCAGAGATGCTATGGCCTGGCCCACCCCTGCAACCGCTTGACCGCCGGCGAGGGGCAGAAGGGCTCCTAGGGGCCTCCACTGCAATCGCCCACGCAGCGACCCGAGAGCCATCCCCCCGGCATAGGCCCTCGTGACGGCCGCTGAAGACGCTGGGTCTGGCCTTGAGTCGGGCCTGTCCATCTACAGGAGGAACATTCAAAAATGGTCAAAAGGTAGTCTGGGGAGGATTTCTTGACTATGGTTTTAAGGTTTAAGCAATTTTTCATTTTTGTGTCCACAATCCCCCTGTAGGGGGAAATGCCCGACCTAAGTCTGGCCGCTCCCTGGAGGACACGACGAGGAGCCCCCACCCGGAGAGCGCTCGGCGGACCCGCGGACTCAGGCCGGCAACGGGGCTCACCACGGCTCGTGCCGAACGAAAGGGGGGGGGATAGGGAAAGGGGGGGTACGAAATCTGCTGCATGCAGATGGTTTCGGCCCCGCCGCCGGGCCCAGTCCTCGATACATGGGCGCCTCCCGGCGCAGGGAGGCGCTGGGAAAAATTAGCTACGTGAGCTGATTCTCTATCCTACCCTTTGCTATACCCCCCTTTCGTTCCCCCCGAACGGCCCGCCCCGCCGCGGCACCCCAGGAACCCGCGAGCACCGAAGGGCGCCGGGGGCGTATCCACCGCCTCCCAATATGGCACGCTTGGGTTAAGTCGGGCCTGTCCCCCTACAGGAGGAATATTCCACAGATAGTCGAAAATAGTCTGGGGACGATTCTTCAGCATTTTTGGCTATTTTTGAATGTTATTCGAGTTTTCTTTGTTGTTCGTCCAAAGTCCTCCTGTAGGGGGACAGGCCCGACCTAACACCACGGCCCGCCCCACCGAGGCACCCCGGGAACCCACGAGCACCGAAGGGCGCCCGGGGGCGTAGCAACCGCCTCCCAACAGGGCACGCTTGGGCTACGCCGCGGCCGGGGACGCGAGGGGCGGGGTGCTCTGGGCGGGAGCCCGCAGAGCTCGACGCCTGGGGGCCCTGCCCAGTCATGGCTCGACGCGGGGTGAAGCACGACGCGGGTGTTGAGTCGAGCATGCCCTTCTGCAGGAGGAGTACTCAAAAATAGTACAACATGCCTGGGGACGATTTTGAGCATCGCGAAGGCCTTACGGCCGTTGCCGCCGACCCTGAGAGCGACGAAGATGAAAGCGAGGGGGGGGGCAGGGTGGAGGAGGTGGATGAGAGAGGAGGAGGGGGGAGAAGGATGTGGAGGAGAAGCAAGAGGAGGAGAAGGAGGCAGAGGAGAGCAGGAGGAGGGGGAGCAGAGGGGGGTGGGAGGAGGAGGAGGAGGAGGAGGATGAGGAAGAAGAAGAGGAGGAGGCCAGAGGCTTTCTTGGGACAGCCTGTGGCTCTCCTGAGGCCGTCTTGGGCCGTCCAGGGCTCCTCTTGCGCTGTCTCGATGCACTCTTGGGCAATTTGGGGCTCTCCTGGACTGTCTTGGGGCAGTTTGGGGGCCCCTTGGGAGCCTCTTATAAGCCTCTTGGGGCCTCTTCGGGGCCTCTTGGGAGCCTCTTGGGGCTGAGAGCTCGAAATGTCCGTTCGGGTCCCCCGTCTGGGCACTCTCCTGGAGCCGTCTTGGGGGCCTCCTGGGCCGTCTTGGTTGCGTCTTGGGCCGCCTTGGGGCCCTCTTCGGCCGTTAAGGGGGGGGCCTCTTGGGCCGTCTCGGGGCGATCTTGGGGGCCTCTTGGGCCGTCTTGGCGCGTCGGGAAGCGGAAGAGGCAAGAACGCCAATGGAAATCCATGAATTTTGCCTCTTGGGGCTCTCGTGGGAAAGCTCCTGGAGGTCTCTTAGGGGCGCTTTGCAGGTTTCTTGGGCCGTCTGGAGGCCGTCAAGGCGTCTTGGACAGATCGTTCGGCGATTCGGGGTTCTCTTGGATTGTTTTCGGGGCCTCTTGGGGCACACTCTTGGCCCGTCTTGGGGCTTTGTTTGGCTTCGGGACTCCCAGGGGGGGCGTCGTATCTGACCCCCCCCCCGGGGCGTCTGACCCCCCCCCCCCCCCGGGACCCACCCCCCCACCCCCCGGCGGGGGAGGGGTCGAAGGGAAGAGGCTTCCCTGCGACTCAATTACGACATTGGTTACTTTCGCTTTGGCTGGCGCGCTGAGGAGGTCCCTGGGAAAGGGGGGAGCTTCGACGAGCCCAGGGAAAGGGGGGAGGCAGGGAAAGGGGACGACAGAGACGACGACCAACGAATGACGGAGATGACGACTTGAACGGACAAGCCCCTCACACACGCCGACAGGGTCGGCGCATTTTTGCCGTGTCTTTTTTTTTTATTTTGATTGTTGCTATTATTATTGTTATTATGATTATTATTATTATTGTTTTGTATAAAGAAACATCCGCCTGTAGGAGGACATGCCCGACCTAACGCAGGTGCCAGCCTATGCGAGGATCCACTGCACGTAAGATTGTCTTTTTATTGCAAGAGGGACCTCTGGTGCGGCCCCCCGCTGGCTGAACGGGAAGCGATAGCAGCGGCTCGCGCGCCCGGGTTTGGCCACCCTGCGTCCCCCGTGAAGTCGCGCACCACAGGCCACTCTTGTCCAGGGTCACTCCTGCGTGTAGCCGAGAGGAACCAGGATCAGGATCCTCCCATGAGGTGGGGAGGACGACAGGGGGCAGACGAGGGGGGAGGGGGGCCCGCCTGCCTTGGGCAAGGGCGCCAACGCCCGCGACGATATACCCCCGCGATGACGCCGCCGCCGACGACGACGACGACGATGTCACCGCCGCCGCCGCCGACGACGACGAACGACGAGGATGACGACGACCAGAACGACGACGACGACGAACGATGACGACGACGACGACGACGACGACGACGACGACGACGACGACGACGGCGACGGCGGCGACGACGACGGACTACGACGACGACGACGACGGCGACGGCGGCGACGACGACGGACTACGACGACGACGACGACGACGACGACGGCGGCGGCGACGACGACGACGCCGACGAACGACGACGACGACGATGCCGACGACGACGACGACGACGACGACGACGGACGACGACGACGACGGCGACGACGACGGACGACGACGACGACGACGATGGCGGCGACGATGACGACGACGACGGACGACGACGACGAACGACGACGATGGCGGCGACGATGACGACGACGACGACGACGACCACGACGACGACAACGACGACCAGCGGCGCACCGGCAGCTCACGCGTGGGCCCCCCCTCAACCCCCTCACACGCGGCGCTTAGATGGAGGATGAGGTCGGAAGAATGGAGGATAAGTTTCCGGAGTGAGCATACAGAGCGGACGACGGATGACGATCAGACGGGGTGGACGGGAGAAGGATTGGAATCAGATGGGGGAGGGAAGGCATGGAACATGACGTGGGGTAGAGAGAGGGACGAGGGACGGCGGAAGAAAGGCGAGGAGGACGGTGGCAGGAGGGAGGGGGAATAATAAGGATAGATATGGATGGTGGAAAGGTCAGGAGGACGAACAATGCTGATGTGTTTAAGGTTTGGGAAGAGAAATGAGGAGGACACATGAGGACCACGGCTGCTTGAAGGAGGAGTAGGACAAAAGTGAGGAGGAGCCGACATCATGAATGGGCACGTGCCGAATCCACCTTGTGCGTTCCACATCAGTGGTTGTACCCAGGCTCGCTCAGGCTCGAGCCTTAGCACCTTCTCGAGCTCATCCAGGCCGGTTGGTGCAATGTGCACTTTCTGCTGCGAGCCGCTCCCAACATCCATCGCTGTTGCCCCCGTTCCAGGATGGCACGAACCTTGTCAGAGTGTAGATTTCTGGCGCGTCGTCAAAATAGTAGATCCCTGCGTTATCACCCAATCGTATCCATCCATGGTCTTCTCTTCGTTCCCCGCCGATGCGTTCCTCCTTGTATGGCCGTTGCGCTCATGATGGGAGGCATCGACACACATGCACAGATGCATGTCTAGCATGTGCCCCTTTGGTGGAGCAGTGCACGCGATGCCATAGTCACCTTGAACAATGTATACTGTGGATCTCGGCCCATCCCGCCACCATGCCCGGGTCGTGGAACACAAGCCTCGTAGGTCCTCCTGGGGGCCTCACGGAGGACTGCTTGGGGCATCATTGGGAGCAGAGTGGGGCTTTCCTGACCTCTTCGCCCATCAATTCCCCCCCTCCTCCCCCCCCCCTCATCCTCCCCACACCCCCTCCCTGCGCCTCCACCTTTCCTTATCCGCACCACCGCTCATCCTCCTCCTCCTCCTCCTTTTCCTCCTCCTCCTCCTCCTACTCCTCCTTCTCATGCTCCCTTTCCCCCCCATGGCTCCTGCCCCCTCCTCCGCCTGCCCACCTCCCCCTTCTGCCCCCTCCTCCTCTTCCAGTTCTTCCCGCTCTCCTCTCGCCCTCCCCCTCCTCCTGTCCCCCAAGGGTCGACGTCACCTCATCCCGTGCATCCCCACACCCCGCCTTCTGTTCCTCGTTCCCACCCCTTGTTGGGTGCTGCTCACGAGCCCTGGCAGCGGCGGAGAAAGAATGAGACCGCGCAGCAGTGAAAAGGCGGTTGACTCCAGTGTGTATATGCACTTCATGTCCGCAGCGTATTGTGTTTCATGTTGCCTTGCGAAACTGCGTGCGTCAATGAGCGCATGCCCTTGCCGACTGTCGGGAGAGGATGCTGCACTGTTTGGGGACTTGAGCTCAAAATCGAGTCGTTGAGCGCCTCAGGAAGGCGCCTGCACTGGACTCGGACGCACATTCGGAGACACTTTGAGTATTTTTTATTTTTCGTCCAAAATTCCCCTGTAGGGGGACATGCCCGACCTAAAGATACTTGTATCCACCACCAGCTGTCGGAAGGGAACTCAGTCTGCTGCGCTGTTTGGGAGCGTGGCCGCAGACGGTGTTCGACGCGCGCCTTTGGAAGGCGTCGGCCCCGGACCCGGACACAAATGTTCGTGCAAGACGGGGGAGTCACAGAGGTCAGAAGGCGGAAGCGCCCGTAAATTGGGACGGGTTGGAAGGGAGACAGCAGGTCTTTGTATCATTTTCCATTTGAGGGGCACGGACGGGAAGCAGCAGTAGATGGAGTCCGAGTAGATGGGGTCGGAGGATCGCGCCGCATCGCCGATGCATCGGCGATGCGGCTCGATGTGGAGCCCGATTTCCTCCACGCCGACGTCGCCGGCGCATCACCCACGTCGGCGATGCATCGCTGGTGTCTCGCCGATGCATCGCCAATACATCGCCGATGTATCGGCGATGCGGCGCGATCCTCCGACCCCATCTACTCGGACCCCGTCTAGGAGGCCTCTAATAAGTGTATATCGACACGCATCTATACATGTTGTGACTGGTCGATCACCTTGCTGCGGGAGACAGGCGAGGAACTCCTCGCTATCACCACTCGCGGCCACGGAGGGCTCATGTCAGGCAGTGGCGAAGCGTCCTGGCTCGCTTGTCGCCCTACCAAACAATGTTCTAAGAACAGTTTGTGGTTTCCACGGAATGTTCTGAGAACATTTCTGGCGGAGTCTGTCTTGTTTTATCACATCGGGTTTATGCTCTACGAACATTGTTTTTGTCCTTAGAACATTTCTTTGGTTCTAAGAACATTTCGTGGTAAGACTATAGAAATGCCGGGACGGTCGGTCCCTGCTCAATCATGGGACGTGCCAGACCCCCCCGCCCCTTCGTCCCTCCTGGCCCCCCCGCCCTCCCCCTGCTCCCCCCTCGTTCCCTTAAGTCCCTTCCCCCCGCTCCCCTCCTCCTCCGCCCCTCCTCCCCCCTCCTCTTCCTCCTCCTTCTCCTCCCCCTCCTCCTCCTCCTCCTCCTCCTCCTCCGCCTCCGGTCTCCTCCTGGTCCCCCTCCCCCTCCCCCGCCTCGTCCTCCATCGCCCCCCCCCCCTATGCCCCTCAGGAGCTCGCCGCCTGCAGCGGGCTGCCGGCCTGCTTCTCGGACTGCCAGCCCGTCGACTGCGCGTGGAACGACTGGCAGGACTGGTACGGGCTCGGTGGGTGCACGGGTCCGGCGGCTTGCCTTTTTGGCGCCGTCCTCGTCGGATGGTGCGTGGGGAGGAGGAGGAGGACGAGGAGGAGGAAGAGGAGGAGGAGGAGGAGAAGGAGGATGTAATATGCCCCCCCCCTCCCCCGTGCCCCGACTTATCGGCGCCCCCACGGGGCGCTGCAAATTACGCGTGGATATGCCTCATCGTTCGCTGCCCACAGATGTGGGTCCATCCCAGGAGGGCAGGGGGGTGCTTCCCGCTCTCACCCCCGTCATGCAGACGGACCGCGCGACGAGGAACACTCGGCTTCGTTGGGGCGTCCCGAGCTCCTTCGGCTTGACGTCGGCGTCGATGGACGTTGCGACCCCGAAGAAGTTGCAGATTTCAGGTCGCGCAGGATTTCTCGGGCGTCGATGCGCTTCGGGGCGCGCGCCCGAACCTCCCTGGAACTTGCGGGCGCTCGGGGTGCCGCGGGCTTCTGCGCCCGCCGATCGGTGCTACTCTTCCCGCGTGGCCCGCCGTTCGCGGGCGCTCGCCATTCTGACAAGGAAGCGCCGGCGCATTCCAGGGCGCGCGCCCGAAAGCCCAAAACATTGACCAGCATTCAGGATACCTCGGGCTGCTACGCCCGCCGCTCCGTCTGGAGCGCAGAGATTCAGGATTCAGGATTCCTCGCGCGCAGAGCGTGCGCTCGCGGGGGGCCGCCGTTCTGGCGTGGGGGCCCCGGCGCGTTCGGGGCTCGCGCCCGAGAGCTCGAGAGAAAGGCGCGGGCAGGCAGGGCGCCCCGGGAGTCTGCGCCCGCCGCCACGGCTGTTCTTGTAGTGCGACGCCTCTTTCTACGGGGGCTCGTCCGTCTGACATGGGGGCGCTGGCGCATGCGGGGCGCGTGCCCGATACTTGGAGAAACCGTGTCGCATTGCGGTTGCATTGGGTTTCTTCGCCTTCGCCCACCCGGGCTAAGGCCAATTCGGAGCGAGAAGTCATCGTTGTGTTGTTTGCGCAAGGCCCGAAGCATATTGCATTGTCGACCTCTTGAGGTGTCTTGGCGGGCCAGGACGCCCCGGGCGTCTGCGTTTGCCGCCGAAGTGTAAGAAACCAGATGTGGACCGTGAAGCTTCGGCGGACTTCTGGGTTGGGTTTCTCGCGGTGGGTTTCCTGCGAGTTGATCTCCCCGAACAGTGTTTGCACTGAGGCGTTCTCGCCTCTCTTCGGAAGCATGGCCCTGAATGTCGGTCTGGCGGCTCCGCGCTCGCAGCTGCCGCCGCGCCGCGTCGCCGCTTCGTCGCCGCCCAGCCGCTGGCCCTGAATGCCCGCATGGCGGCCCCGGGCTGGCCGTCGCCGCCCCGTCACCGCCTCGTCGCCGCCCGCCGTCTGGGCCTGGGCGTCGGTCTGGCGGCCCCACGATCGCCGTCGCCTCCCCGCCGCCGCCTCGCGCAGATTGCGCCGCGAAGATACATCCCCATGACTTGTTTCGTTTTCCTCTGACGGAAATTGCGCCGCCGCCGCCCCCAGATTTTGCGCCCCCCTGCGGTAGTGCAACTTGCGCTCGCTTTCTCCATGAATTCAGATCATTCCAGCCACACCCCGATCCCCTTCCCCCAACCCCCCTTCATGCAATGCGCGCGCTCGTTTATACGCAAATGCGGTTGTCCAAGAAATCTTTGCAACGGGTATGGCGAAATCCACGTGCTGGTATTTTTCGAAATCCGTTTCTTCGCATGTCTGTCAGGATCGAGTCTCCCAGGACAGTGTTACAACAATGGTTTTACAACGTGCTTGTTCGACAGAGTTTACGCACGCGCTCTTGCGAGGTCTGGCGAAAACTATTGTTTTCCAACTTCCTCATCAAATGCGACCAAGCGGGCCTCATGCGCGCGCGCTCGCCAGAATCATTCGAAAGCCCATGCGCGCGCGCTGACGGGGGGGAGAGGCGGGGGGCGGGGCACGATCCCTGTCAAATGACACCACGTGCACTCGCGCCCGTCGGCTGGCCGCGTGCTCATATCGAAATTATTCCAAAACCTGCATCGCCGACACCTGGGCGCCATCATCGTCATCGGCGCAAGCAGCATCGCCGCCGTCATTGGCCTTGCAGCCGTCATCGCCACCATCATCACCAGCATCGCTACTATCATCGTCGCGTTCGAAGTCGCCATGATACCGCGCCCGCCGACTCACTGAAGTGCCCGCGCGTCAGCGCGGCCTGCGAGACGCGCTGGGGACTCGCCAGCGGCCAGCGCCACCGCGGCCGCGTCGGTCGCGCCGGACCACGTGGCCGCTTTGCGCGTGAGCCCGCGCGCGTTGGCGCGGCCGCAGCGATGCGCCAGGCAGTGCCACACATTCTTCGCAATCGCCGCCGCATTGATTTTGCAAGCCAAGTTGCGGGTGGGGGGATGGGATGCTTGTGTGAGGAGTGGAATTGACAGTTCATTATTGAGCATTCATTGCACCACGAAGGTTGCACCACATAGGTCGCTGTACATAGTGCGCCCGCCAATGTATTCTACCACGTAGAGGGCACAACATATATCGCACCAATCAGGTTGCACAACATAGATGGCACAACATAGATCGCACCACACAGCTTGCACTACTGGTTCACCACACAATATCACATCAATTGCACCCCGTATAATGCACACCATAGTGTGCTAGGACACACGGTTTGGGGCTCACGCGGGTGAGCACTTCATTGTAAGAGAACGTTCGCCCTCTTATATATCAAATTATGAGACTCCGCCGCTGTTTGCAGAAGTTGTGCAAAGTCCATGCGCGCACATGCCGAAACCATACCAACCAGACGAGTTCTGCCAGCACCGAAACATGAAACGTATCAGCAGGCCGTAGGATTGTCAGTATGACGATTGCAACATTTGCCCGCGCGCAC